AAGTATTGTTAAAGTTGATTTTTAGTCAATATCTAGTAATAATGACTGTCTGTCTTTAGCTGTTCCAGATTCAACTGTTGTTGCTGCTGTTGCTGTTGTTGTTCTGCTGGTGGCTGCAGCTGCTGTAATTTACTATCATCTAAGGAAATCTACACAAGCAAGACAAAATGGCAAGCATTACATACAGCTGATTTTACAAGATGGAAAATTAGATCTATTGTAATCTTTAAAAATATGTGAAAGTGTATTTTTATTCTAATTAATCAAATTAATCTGTGTTTAATTGAGTTTGCTTTTATTGTTGTTCAAATACTATCATCGAAATCTACACAAGCAAGACAAAATGGCAAGCATTACATACAGCTGATTTTACAAGATGGAAAATTAGATCTATTGTAATCTTTAAAAATATGTGAAAGTGTATTTTTATTCTAATTAATCAAATTAATCTGTGTTTAATTGAGTTTGCTTTTATTGTTGTTCAAACAGACACAATGCAGCACAATCATGATCAGGTGAGATATTATGTCCATACAATCTTTCTGATTGCAAAAAAAAAAAAAAATTACAACTGATTCTGATCTGTGAGATCTGTAAGTCTCACAAGTGTAAAAGTGTGTCCGAGTTTTCTGGATGTGTATGTGGTTTATTCGGAAATCATTACACAGAAACACCAATATTTATATACATTTATTGACTTATTTAAGAGAGTCAAGGGCACTGATCTTGTGCTCTTTTACTTCTGAATGAAGAAAGAGATTCTTTAGATTTAGCAAAAAAAATTGTGACTGAATCATCAAACCTGATCATTTGTTTTACCTTCTGTGAATGTGTGTTTTCTTATAGGGAAATGGTGTGGACTCAGTTCCCTTATCAGAATGGAATTCCATTCATCGCTGATGATATTGGGACATCACAGTAGCTTTATTTATTATTTTGGTAACTAATGCTGCGTTCGATTTACCTCAGAAGTCGAATGTCGGAGCTGGGAATGACGTCACACCCACCAACTGTCAACAAGTCTAATGGAGTTCACTCGTGTTAGCATTAGCAGTGTTAGGAAAAACAGAGCATTACATCGCATTGTGTAACTGCAGACACTCACATACTCCATAGCAACATGTTCACAGATAGAGGTTGGGCAGTAATGAGTGTATGACTCGATGGCATGGAAATATAACAGAAGCTTTAGAAATATTATAGTATTTATAGCTTTTTAACTTTTGCTCACAGAGGGAGCAGCCATCTTGAATTCTCAACTTGGGTTTGAGCGAATTTCTACATAATAGAAATTTTGAACAAAGCAGCACATTACCAGCAATAGAAAAGATTAAAGGTGGGGTAAGCGATTTTTCAAAAACGCTTTAGAAAACAGATTCAGGCTGAATAGCAAAACAAACTTGTAGCCAATCAGCAGTATGGGGCGTGTCTACTCATGATGTGGAGGAGAGAGCTGTTCAGTGCACAGGACGGACATTAGCCGAGCCAAGTGACAGAAAGATAGAGATGGCGGATAAAAAAGTGGCGCGCTGCATCCAGTGTAGACCATAGATATGTATATATATCTATGGTGTAGACAGCATCACTGATTATTATTAGATTATTATCATGCACAAAATATGATTGTGGTTTTGCGCAGCTTGTCAGTGAACAACGGCTCTGTGTAGTAAATGCTGCTCCACGTGAAAGCACGCACGTGTAGAGATTTACCACTGATTACAGAACCGGCTTTACTGACGAGATGCGCATTAAATATCGTGCGATATTTATCATGCAGCCCTACTGATTATAATGAGTTCCATAGTATTTTGTCGCGCCTCGCCACTCGCGTCAGGTGTAGACACGGTTGTAACAACGTTCGAAGGTCGGGAAGAAGGAGGCGGGAACCGGCGAACATTTAAACAAAACTTTAATAAAATAAACAAACACAAAATAAAGTCCAGGCCTGGTCCTCTCTCCTCCAACACTGTCGTCACTCCTCCTTTTATCCTTCCGGAGCTCCTCCGTGGGACTCGAGACCGGTGAGTGGTGCGTTTTGCTTTGTTTCACAGAACTAATCGTTGCCTGGGTTGCGTACGTATGTGTGGGGCGGAGCTATCAAAATAGAGGCGAGACCCTATTGAGGTAGGGGGTTTGTTTTGGTGATTTCAAATGTCAACATTGGCTACCAGAAATCGCTTACCCCACCTTTAAGTGTAATATTCTGCCTTTTTAAGCATTTGAGATGTGGAACAGATTTTTTTTATTATTATTATTTATTTAAATTTTTTTACTACATAGTTTGTGCCTTTCACGTGAGGAGTAAGATGGAGGCCTGTGGGGCATTCAAGGTAAAGCTTACTCTTTCACATGGTTTTTTATTATAGATGTTTGTTTTGTCCATCTTATTCAGTTCTTTTTATGGAGAATGTTTGGCTGTGTTGTATTTGTTCAAAGTGCTTGTTATATCATGTAAATATTGTGTTTTTTGTTTGTTTGTATTCTAGAATATTATCACTGTGTGATGGAAATGATCGCCTTCACTTGAATTTCCTGCATGCTCAGTCCAGTCTCCACCACCACATCCCAGGACAGGAAAAACAACAGGGAAAGAATGGTTGACTCCATCTGTTTATCTGAACAATGGGAAATACTTCTAATTGTGCAATGTGATGTGGATTATGAGATCTGTTCTGTCACTTATTCAGAAAGCTATTTTTTTTATTTTATTTTACTTTGAATCAGCCATAGAAAACACCATGTAAAAATAAGCCCATGTAAAACTATTTTCTTACAGTGGAAATTAACATGAAGAATATTTGTTTTCTCATGTGACAAAGGCTATTAAAACAATTGATACTTATATATCATAGCTGAACTCTGTGTTTGTCATTTTGAATTAGTTAGAAATAACTGAACTAAACAAACCTTGATTCATTTATAGAGTGATCATTGTGACATGATTTCAACTCAGTGTGGACTGAACTTTTTTAGCACTCAACCTTCACCCAGGCTTATCAACTCAGTCCTTTAGCAATATGAACACATGAGTTGCATCAACTGTTATTTTAAAAGCTTTTATTTTGTGTATTTATATTGGAAGAGGGTAGGCTAATCGTGAAAAAGTGAATTCCTAGACACTAAATGATGTTCTAGTAAAGTATACAAACTTGTCTATTTTACACCTCAAAGACAATCCCATATTAAAGCAAGTTTTTTTTTATTTTTTATTTTTTACATTGACATAGTGATGGTGCATTGACGAATGGATTCTGTTTCTTTACCAAATACGTCTGTTCTGGGAGTATGTAAGTTTGGCTTGTGGGTACACAATTCTGCGAAAAGGCTAGATTTCTTGCTTCTAGCTACATTCAGTGCAGCCCTTATAGGAAATTGCATTGTAAGAATGTGCAGGGATACTTCAAATATAAAAACGGTGACTTATTAGGTCATGTTTTCTCATTAAAATCAGATGACTTCACTTTTTATGAGCAATACCGTTGTCTATCAAGCTGTGGTAGAGATGTTCGAAAACAAATACCACTCTACAGGCATTGTTCTGTGGCAATATTGTTGGTATGGTACGGCACATCTAGTAGATAAAGGCATTATATATTTTGTAATATAAAATAAACATTGGTCAGTTCTGGCAGAATGTTTGGGATAGAAATGCAGGGGAGGCTTTATATGTTTAAACTACATAAGCATCAGGTGAAAACACACATAATGTGATGTGGGGATATTAAAGGCCGTGACAGCTTTGTAGTTGTTCACAGTCAACACAAAAATCTCCTAGCAACCGAAACGCAGACGATAAACTCTGCTATTGATAGCATTTGCGTTGAGGTATTACGGTTTCATTAAAGAGTCACTGAGTCACTAAGAGTTACTAGGGTTTAACATCTGAAAAATCCATTAGTTTACAATGAGTCGGGGAAAACATATTATTTCATGTTAAGGACCTCACACGCCGCACTCTGTGCACAATTGCCATTATTTCACTCCAGAGGCCAACAGATAATTAACAACAACAACAAAAAAGAATGGCCAAAACTTACAGGGGACGTCCCATATGCACACCTCGTATGAAACTATTTTAATGCAGTGGTTTAGAGATGTGACATTACACTTTAAACACCTCTACAAAACTCATTTGTTATAAGTAGAAAAAAGAATGGGGACTTCATGGGGGATGTCCCAAATGCACACCTCATATGAAATGTCATCAGTTTGTCATCAAAGTGTTTTTATCATTGGGTCTTAGTATTTGCTGAAAGGAGTTTTAATATAGAGTGATCAGCTATGATTTCAGTGGCATGCTACAAGCAAAAATAAAACACAGTAACAATGGCAAGAAACCGAAAAATATAAATATGAATAAGAAATATATATTGAAGCATTTTTCATATTTCACATTCACACATTAAGATCTCTCAGTAATATCACTGTTTGATTTAATAGAATCATTTGGATTTATTACTATGTAGCGAAGCTGTTTTGTCTAAAGCAGACGTCAAACGGCTTCATTTGAGTGAGAATGGGAAAAAAACAACAACTTTCAACCACATGCTTTCACCTCAAACATACTCTCACACACTGACATTAAACACAAATATCTAGCAGATACATGCTCATGCAGAACCTGTCTGCACATTTCTGTACAGATGTGAATCAATGAGACCACAGCAGGGTCTAAACTCCCTTTGATGAGTATTTTGCATCTGCGATTTGCACTTTTTTTTAATGAGATTAACACACATGGTCTCTTTAAGACTTTAAGAATCAAACATGAAAATTTGTCATGTGTGACAAATGATTTAGATCATTTGTTAAAAGTCCTTACTGAAGTTTTTAGGAGACCATTTCATGAATTCATCTTTAAGTACCACACTTTAAACCCTGCTGCATGGCAGTTTGATTTCCTGATGCAACATATGGTGATTCAGACCAATCCCAAAACTTAAACATTGACTTTGAAACTGAGTTTGTCGCAGGAGGTTCTCAGTCTTGCAGTTTGATCATCATCTCATGGCAATAGGTACATACTCCACACGATCTTCCTCTTTAACCTCCTGTAAAAAAACACATCACATAAGAGATTATAATTCTAAAACAACCGCCAGAAGTGTGACCCTTATTACAGACTTACATTAGACTCTACAAAAATTGCATGAATCTGTTATAAAAAGTGGGAAGCTGTATTAAAGGCAAATGGTGGTAAATCACCGTAATAATGAAATATTGCCATTTTCCCAGGTATTCACTTTTTTTTTTTTGTCCAACCCCTGGACAATTTATTGAAGTAATGCCAAATTGGACAATAAAAATCTGATCTAATATGTGATTTTGCTGTAACAAAATCCAATCTACCAGAAGTATGGAAAAAGAACCAAAAAAGATGGATGGTGTAAATGCCACCATGGTGTTGTAAAGCAGGTTTGATGATTTAAAAAATACATTTGCTCATGGACTGGCATGCAAACAAGAAGAAATGTGCATTGGTGTGACTTTCATTTCCTGAAGCCTTCAGTTTCCTGTTAGATGGTTTTGGCTTTAGTGAGTTTCTTCTCAAATAAACAAACACTGTTCACCGCTCAAAGCAAACAAAATTCAGTCCACTTAAATTTTTAAAATGCAACTTAATAGATTTGTATCGGAGATGCATTAACCATTTTCATTGACATAACTTTCTTCTGTTAAATTAAGAACAAATAAGATATTTTCTTATATATTATATGCACTGACTGAAGAGTTATTAACAATAACAATTGTTGTATTGATGGTAAACTTTGGGGATCATGCAGTCCTCCAGTGTTTCTCAGTTGCTTCATGTAAAATAAATAAATAACATAAATAAATAAATAGCTTTTATAAGTATTGGATATGGTGTTGTTGTGTGTGAGATGTGTCTGAATGATCATTATACAAAAAGACAGTCACACACATTTAAATCTGCATTGCTGAATTTATACAGAGATACACGACAAATTAGTAATAAATGATCTTACCGATTTATATGCTTTTCTTTTGAGAAAAGTGGGATCAGCATAAATTATGTCTTCATCATGGGTCTCAACTGCTTCAACAACAACAACAAAAATACATGAAAACAATCCTAACTGGATCTGTATTTTGTGACTAATGTGTTATTATTATGGCTGTCAAAGTTAAAGCATTAATGTACGCAGTTAAATATTTAAAGCAGCAAATTTTGAAAACGCATTAACAAATTACATTTTAACTGTTTCACATGCACAAAGTCCATAAAACAGTATGTTTATTATTAAACTTAAAGAGACATTCCTTACAGAGAATTTGTAAATCAAATGCAGACTGGATGCATTTGCATTTTTTATATGGTGAAATTTAATCATCATTAAAGCTTGAAGCTTGAAAAGTGAAACAGCTTAATTCATAGAAGTGTTAACTTACATACCAACAGAGTGCTGCATCTTTAGAATTATGACCATAAAAATGTAACAAAGGTTGTTTTATTATTGGAATAATCTGGATTTGCATTTCTGTGTTTGTATTTCCAGTTTGGTTTGATGCCGTTTGAGAAATGCAGAATCAGTTTTTAGTAAAGAGCTGTGTTCAGGGACATTACAGATATAGACGTGTATGAATATCATCTACAGCAAAACAAAATAAATTTAGTTTAGTTTATGTATATAAAATACAAAAAAATTAGAATAATTGTGATTTAAATGATAATTAGGACTATCAAACAATTAAAATATTTATTAATATTATATGTTATAATACTTGTTAAAATCAGTAAGTAACAGTGACCTTCATGATCATTTTTTCGGTGTTTCCAGCAGATGCAGAATATCCTGACTGCAGCTACAATCAACAGAGATCCAGCAGCAGCAGCAGCAGCAGAAATCAACACTATCAGAGAGACTGAGCCTGTAATGATAATCACTAATGTAAGTGAATATGCCATTTTGATCTACAACAAAAGAGAGATCAGGTCAGTAAATAAACACATATATCAGCGCTACTGTACCTGAACATGTGAGACAGAGTTTGCTGATGTCCAGATGTGTGGTCTGGTTGCTGATGGGATTGTTGAGCACACAGCTGTAGGTGTTTCCTACCACCTCCAGAGGTAGAGAGAGACTGATGCTGAGATCAGACACACTGATGCTGGACAATAAACTGTTTCCTTTGTACCAGGAGAGAGTCACATCACTCACATTCAACACTGAATCTCATCAACAATCTTCTTTTCAGTTCATTGTGCTGAGTGAGTGTTTTGTTTTTTAATATGTAAAATAAGAGTATGTGAATGTTTGGACAAATGACATCTCTACCCACCATAGATGGAGAAGATTTGCTTCTCAGTTATGATTTCAGATTTGAGAGACTTTTCAACACCAAATTTCCATGTTATGTGGTCTTCTTTATGTATTTTAGTAACATCAGTGTGTAGAGTGACAGAATTCCCCTCAATCACTGATATTGACTCACCAAACACACCTGATGAACATGAAGATATTTTGCACACAATAAGACTCCTTGGTTTAAACTTGGTTTAAATCAGCTGCATTTTTTTTTGTCATTTACATTCACAATAGCATGCAAAGGCACGGAACAGAATAAAAGGTGAGATATATGAACAGACAGACGTGTGAGTGTGTGTGTATTAGCAGATGAAAATGATCTAAACAGTATAGGAGCAGCTTTATTACTCTAAATTGAAAAAAAATATATTACACCACACACATGCTTTTATAACTTACCAATCTGACGGCACCAGCACAAACAGAACAAAACACACATTTGAAACATTTTCTTAAGTTGTTCAGTGTCTGATCTAAGAAGACTATCCGCTAAAAACACTCAAGCTGATGTGTGAATCCTCCCACAACGGACCTCCTGTTCACACCTGCATATTTCATAATGTTTTAGTTCATCTGGCCCTTATTAAGACTTAACTGTTCTAATTGTAGGCCTATATATATATATATATATCAGTTACACATACACATACTTTTTTAAAGATAGTTCACAGACTATTAAATAGAAGTAGAAGAATAATGATGAATATCAGAGGAACTATAGAAAAATTGAGCCTAACCCTTGTGATTTAAAATGGTTGTATATATAAATAAATTTTTGATTGCTTGTGGAAAAAACTAAGTACAAAGTTAAAACCATTTGCCCATCAGTGTGTAGAGTGACAGAATTCCCCTCAATCACTGATATTGACTCACCAAACACACCTGATGAACATGAAGATATTTTGCACACAATAAGACTCCTTGGTTTAAACTTGGTTTAAATCAGCTGCATTTTTTTTTGTCATTTACATTCACAATAGCATGCAAAGGCACGGAACAGAATAAAAGGTGAGATATATGAACAGACAGACGTGTGAGTGTGTGTGTATTAGCAGATGAAAATGATCTAAACAGTATAGGAGCAGCTTTATTACTCTAAATTGAAAAAAAATATATTACACCACACACATGCTTTTATAACTTACCAATCTGACGGCACCAGCACAAACAGAACAAAACACACATTTGAAACATTTTCTTAAGTTGTTCAGTGTCTGATCTAAGAAGACTATCCGCTAAAAACACTCACTCTGATGTGTGAATCCTCCCACAACGGACCTCCTGTTCACACCTGCATATTTCATAATGTTTTAGTTCATCTGGCCCTTATTAAGACTTAACTGTTCTAATTGTAGGCCTATATATATATATATATATCAGTTACACATACACATACTTTTTTAAAGATAGTTCACAGACTATTAAATAGAAGTAGAAGAATAATGATGAATATCAGAGGAACTATAGAAAAATTGAGCCTAACCCTTGTGATTTAAAATGGTTGTATATATAAATAAATTTTTGATTGCTTGTGGAAAAAACTAAGTACAAAGTTAAAACCATTTGCCATCTCACAGTACCAGGTTTACCCGAGGTTCATCTTCTGAGTCAAACTGAAACCTGCTGTGGTTAGATCTGCTGGGTGGACAAACATGTTGTGTGTTTAGTTTGTAGGTGAAAGCCTTCTTCCTGTCCTGCTGTTATGAGCAGCTTTTTAAGACCCTTTAATCTACAGAAAGAATTATGATGAGAAACCGTTTCTGACAGAGAGGGAGTGAAACAACAAAATGGCCATATGTAACTTACAATTACTTTTCTGATTGTCAGTTGTTTGGTTTTTGAAAGAAAGTGATACTTCTCACAATTAAGCTTGTACTTGGTTGACTTATTACAGGTAAAACATTTCCCTTTGTATGCACACATTATTCAATTATATTAACAAAAAAAATGTTTTCCCCACATTTTATTGTAAAATAAATGAATACTACAGCTGTTGTTAGCGAACTCTCATCTGTTGTAAATGAAAGTGAAAGTGAGCAATGCGACGGCCAAGTAAGATAACCTATACTCAGAGTTTGTGCTCTACATTTAACCCATCCAAGTGCACACGCACAGCAGTGAGTAGTGAACGAACACACACACACACACACTATTTGCAGTTGGGGTTCGGTGCCTTGCTCAAGCGTCTCACCTCAGTTGTGAGAATGTGGAAGAGAGTGCTGTTCATTCACTCCCTCCACCTAAAACTCCTGCCGGTACTGAGATTTAAAGGGGTCATCGGATGCAAAATTCACTTTTCAAGTTGTTTGAACATAAATGTATGTTGGAAGTGTGTGTACACATCCATCCTATAATTATAAAAATCCATCCAGTGTTTTTTTTTTAATCCCTATTTTAAAATCCCCTTTCTCAAACCAGGCTGTTCTGAGATTCCTGTCAGAATCACGTAGTTCTGTACAGGCCCCTCCCACGATAGTTGATTGACAGTAGTTTTTCAGCACAGACTGGACTGGTGTCTTACCTTAGACCCGCCCTGAGTGAGCTATCATCAGTCCGCCATTGTGTTGACTCTGGTGCAGGGGAAGACAATATGTCTCCGATTAAGCGATTGAGGTGCTTTATTGTTGGATGTAATAATGAATATAGCAGTCGTCATTTACTCCCGACATCTGAATTGAGTTCTGTCTTCGGGTTCTATAGCAGGAATATATAGTGGTGTTGACCACAGTGATACGAGCATGACAGAATGGCAAAAGTATATAGCTTATTTAAAAAGATGGAAACATGATAAATAGCTAATCTATGTTTATATGAGTTTGTTATTGTTCAAACAGGCATCAGGAAGGCAACGCAATGATCAGGCAAGGGGTCTTATTTTTCCTGTTGTTTCTTTAACGGTTCCAGCAGCATCTACTTATAGCAATGTAGAGCTGTAATCAGGGACATGTGATTTTCTCCTTTGGACACTAGAGAGAGATAATGAGCTTGTACTACATTTGCTAAAATGTCCAGCTGAGCATGTTGTGTGCAGTCATACTGTAAACCACTAATGCACTTAATGTTCAATGAAACTGTCTAAAAAGAATAAATCAAGAGCCATAAATGACAGCCAAAAAGGCACACTGAAGGGTGGAATCAATTTTAATAAAGAAACTACATTTCCATTCGATAGAACATTTAGCTGAGCTTCTGAATGCTTTGCTATTTGTGAGGCATCAAATTAAAGCAACAATATTTTGGACATCACAATAACCACTTATGAGAGCACACGTGCAAAAAAAAAAATCATTAGATGAAATCAAAAGATGTGATACAAATAGGCAAAATAAAACTGAGACATCTGGGCAGAGAATAAATGGGAAAACAACCAAAATGTGTGAGGCAGCGTCCTGTATGAGCTCTATCATCAGTTCCAGTAGACACAGTATTTGATCACCGTTTTTTGGGGACATTTTCATACACAGCCTCCGACTTTGATTTCTGCAAGAAAACGTAAACTTAATCAAGAACATTGCTGATGTGACAGAAAATTAATAGCAGACCAACTTTAGGTTTCTGTCTGAATAACCTTTACAACAAGACCTCATTAGTGTTTCTATGAAATCATTTTAAAAATAGTTTTAAAATCCCAAATCAGTAGAGCTGAACATAACGTAAAAGGCATAATAGGAAGAACAGCAGTTTTGTTTTTCAAATAACTACTGCTACTACAGAACAGATCGAGCAGTTGGAGGAAATTACATCAGTCATCCAGTTCATCACGTGACTTTTTAAACCGTTAAATCATCAAACAAATCATTTAAATTCTGAAGGTTTGAGAATGGTTGCATTTCACACAAAAGCAACATATTTGTTGCAGCACGTCTACAAAGCAACCAGCTTTAGCTTGAAGCTGCATTTGACCTCAGACGATCATGAACCACAGAGCAGCTGCAGCTCGAGGCCAGATTTCAGCACAGGTAACATGAGTCAACAACTGTCCTTTTTGATTGAAAATCTAATGATATAAAACTGATGTTGTATGATTAATTTTAGAATAACAAACCCAGTTATTTATACTTAGAACTGTCTGTATATGATTTTAAATAGCAGATTATTTAGTAGGCCACAGACCACAGCAGGTTTGGGTTTGGTGTAACGGTAAAAAGTTTTACATGTAAGATCATAACAGTGATCTCATTATATATGTAAACAAAAAACAAACAAACAAAAAAATGTTCAGACAGACAGTAGCATCTAGGAGAGTGTTGCAGGGTTTTCCTGCGGAACTGGGCTGCTTTTACACTGTTCCCACGGGTTGTTTTTTACAGTCAGGTTTTTAAAACATCTCAGACCGCACCCATTCATTTACACACTTGCACATTTTCAATAAATATCCCGCATTCCTGAATAGAGTTAAGCACACAAATGACATGTAATCATTATCCAGAGATTAACAAAAAAACACAAATGTAAATATAATGTTTTAATGACAGCGAGAATTGCTTGGCTATGAAAATGCTATTCTATACTGCAGAAATTACTGTATGAGCCCAAATAAAATATTTTTACTTTAATAATTGTCATGCACACTTGATTTAGTATCATATGCTGCTGGACTCATCAACTGATGCAACAGTGGTTGCCATTACCGATTATGCACGTTCACTGCTGCTCTGTTGTCTTAAAAAGGCTTGAATATTGTACATGAAAAAATAAATAAAACACAACCCTACCACTTTTTAAAACAAAATAACACCAGTGATATTTTTGCTTGCAAAAAAATCCACAAATCACTTAAAAAGTGCTGGGTCAAATGTGAAGTCACCCTGTTCTTCCAGTGCCCACGTTCTAAGCAGAGTTACAAGTTGACCCTGAACATTGTCCCTTTTTATTTTTATATATATATATTTTTTACTATTTTTATTTATTTATTTTTACAAGCCAAGAAAAATCTGGACTACACTGTTTGCTGTTGTCGATGAGACATGAGCATGCAATGGTGCTTTCGGGAGCAATGAAGGCCGCTCGATCATCCACATCTAACTGTGCTCTTTTATACAAAACAAAAAAAAATGTTTTAGGGGGTAAAAAATAAAAGAGCACGATTAGATGTGGATGATCGAGTGCCCCTCATCACTCCTAATAACACCACTTGATGCTCAGGTTTCATCGAACACAGCAAACACTTAAGCCTACAGTGTATGTGCCTTGTGAAAAGGGACAAGTAAGGGTTTGACATTCACCATTCACTATCGTTGAAAAATGTAAACCCTTAGTGTAAATGGGTGGCGAAAAACATTCTTAAACTATCCTTTGATCATAGGTGCTGGCAGTTGGACGTCTGTTCACTGACCGTCTGATGCACATTAAACACAAAACTTCAATCAGATTAACTGACTGCAACAACTTCTTGCAACACAGTCATGAATTGTCTTACCTTTTTGTGTGTTTTGGGTTTACACAATGGTGAATCAGACTCTTCCTCGTGGGTTTGGACTGCATTAACAATCACAGGTGTGTTAAAATGAAAAGTTTTCAATATTATTTATGCATTTGTATCTTAAAATATAGTTCCACAGATTAATTGCTTGTCCTCCTGACCTGTTTTTCTACATTTCTTGCAGGTGCAGCACATCACGACTGAAACTACAATCAACAGAGATCCAGCAGTGGCAGCAGGGATCAATATGTAAAATAACGGTAGGCCTTGATCTGTAATCGATAGTTCTGCAATGGACAAAATGAGCCAATTGTGTGAATCTGTCTGCTCTACAACAAACACTATGAAACATCAGCCCTATATAGTCTATATATCACTGACAATATAGCTGGTGACGTACCTGAGTGAATCTGACAGAGTTTGCTGATGTCCAGATGTGTGGTCTGGTTGTTGATGGGATTGTTGAGCACACAGCTGTAGGTGTTTTTCTCCTGATATTCCACCTCCAGAGGTAGAGAGAGACTGATGCTGAGATCAGACACACTGATGCTGGACAATAAACTGTTTCCTTTGTACCAGGAGAGAGTCACATGACCCACATTCACCACTGAACACAACAATGAACAATTCTGCTGTGATGAAGATGAAAAATTGTGTGAACAATCTCTGGTAATGTAAGGAGTGGGCAGACGAGCTGAAAAATATAAGAGAATGAACAGAAACATAGACAAATGTAAGCAACAATCTTGGTGTAGTGTTTTTAGTGTTTTTGTAATTTTAAACTATAAAATGTTTAAACATTGCAATATTTAGATGAAGACCATGGCTATTCTGTAAACTTTAAAATACTCAACGGTTTCAGGTTAGTATAGCTATGGATATAAACAATATACATGTTGACATGATTCTAGTGTGGGAAAAAAACAACTTTCATATCCAGTTTTAAAACTTCATCACTATCACAATGTAATGTTGTAAACCCTACACACATGAAGTGACTGTATAATGATTTAAACAGCTTTGCAGCTCAAACAAAGCAAACATTTTAAAACTAGAATTAATGTACATGCTTTAATAAAGCTTAAGTCCTCAAAAAATTGGTCCTGTTCATGTCAACTGTAAGTGCCTCACCGTAACCTCCAAATGAGGTACAAGTCAATTTTATTTTATTTAACTTTTTTTTTTTTTTTTGGTAATCAAATTTATACTGTGGATTGAGCTTAATATGAATTGAATCTGTAATATTCCTTTAATAAATCAAGAATATTTGGATATTAAGAATGAGGCAAATGATACTCACCATAGACAGAAACACTGAATGTCTTTGATGACAGTTTCGCTGCAATTATCTGTAGTTTATAGAGTCCAGCGTGTTGAGTTGTGATGTTTGTGATGGTCAGAGATCCAGTCTGATTGTCCAGCTTCAGTCTGTCTCTGAATCTCTCATCATTATATGTGAAGAAATTTTTAGAGGCTCTATTTATTTGAGCTATCAGAGACTTTTCATCTCCAAAATTCCACATTATTTCATCATCTTCATGTATTTCAGTAACATCAGTGTTTAGAGTAACAGAATCTCCCTCCATCACTGACTGGGTTTCATTTGTCTCGGCGCGAAACACACCTGCAGAAACAAACAAGTAATCAGTTTCTAACATTTAAATGTGAAATGAATAACAGCAGCAGAGATGGAACATAAAACAAAAGTTGACATATATGAGTAATTTTGTCTTTATTGTATTTTAAAGTTCAAGTACAGCAACGTAAATGTACAGTTAATAACAGCCAAGTCAAACTACTAATTTATTTCTGCAGGAAACTTTTAATGGTTTCATACTTTTATGTTTTTTGTTTCACTGAACAGTCTCACTGAAATGAGACCTGACTCCAGTAGATCTCACAATAATATCACAGTTTGATTTGATTTATCTGGTGAGCACAGCAAATGCAAATCATTTTTTTTAAACCATAACAGCAGCTTTATTACTCTGAAATAAAAAGGAATTCATAAAAATGATTTTTATTACTTACCAATCAAATGCCACCAGCACAAACATAACAAAACAAGCGCATTAAACATTTTCTTTAACAGTTCTGTGTCTGGTCTAATAAAACTATCTGCTTCTAACACTCAAACTGTTCATCTGTTGTGTGAATCCTCCTCTGACAGAGTTTGACCCTCCCAGAGTCACAGTGCAGGCACACACACTGAATGTAAGTTAATCTATCAATGTATAGTTACATATAATATGCCAAAAAACATTAACATTAAGTCAGCTTTAATTGTTAATGGTGGGAAACGTTTTATCAAAAAACTTTATCAAATGGAAAAAATGTTTTCCCCCCATTTGTCGTTAATGGTTTGACTGTTTTAAATACATATAGAAGAGAAGAACATTTTCTACATGATTAATAGTCAAACTGAATTTAATGGAGAAATAAATCGTTTGAAATGGTTTTATGATTATTCCATTGTTGCAAATTGCATTGTTAGTCCTGAGGTGTGACACTAGCAGCTCATTTTCTGAGTCAAACTGAAACCTGCTGTGGTTAGTTTTCTTCAGAAACATGCTTTGATCTGTTGGATGGACAGACAGCTTTTTGCACATGAGTGGCCATTTGTTTCATGTGTATTTAGTTTGTAGGAGAAGAGGCTTCTTCCTGTGCTACTGCTATGAACATTACAGTTGATGCCCTCACAGAACTGGTTTTCAGTGAGATGCTGTGATCTCACGAGAATTCGTATTTTACGTAAAGGTTCTACAAAACGTACATTTACTTATGTTTTCACAGGCACAAAAACATACTATACTGACGCATTTACAGCATTTTGACATAGGCCTATACAATAATGGCGTATTGATGACACCTAAAACGTAAATTATTTATGAACTTCACAGAATTACAAATGAATCCTTATAAATGTGTAATTCTGATTTACAGAAGAGAGAATTATGAAGGAATCCTTGAAATTGAGGCATTAACTTTTTATTATATTCAGTTGTCATATAAATGACATTATGTTTTCAATTGCATTATTAAATAAAGCTTACTCATTTACTTAATACGAAATGATAACATTTCGTTCTGTGTGATTTCTGCTGCCAACTCGTTTCGTAAAACAAAACTTATTAAACACGACTTTAAAAGCTCTTAAAATGAATAACTCTCGTCTGCGTCGTCACTTGTGATGTGAAGATTGGAAAATTTTACTGACTTGGATCTTTGAAGCCAATTCAGCAAAATGAATTAATCATTTTTCAAGTCATTTCATTCATTTCAGTAGAATATAATTAAAAGGTTAATATCCAAATTCCCCAACACATCTACGCAAACATTGATCACATTTTGAATAAATTACAATTACATAAAGACGGTATGATATAATAATTACACATGTGAGCAACCATTTCAAAATACTCCCAGACAGAGGAGGATTTGGCTCTGCGCCAGTAGCAGCTCTGATGTTTTACTTTTTTCCATTACTGCCACCCACAGGACAAACTGACAGCATCAGAAACAAACCCGTAAACTGATGTCCGGGGGCATTTTTTAAAAAACCTTATTAAATGTAGCCTATGCATCATGAATATGGAATGCCACGATCTTAATTCCAATGGATAAATTCAGTTAAAATAATAAAGGGCTGTTACTAGTAAAAATCCGATCAGTGTCAACAAAAGCCATCAGAGCCATCATTACTGAATGCATTTACACTGCAATTAGCCTACAAATGCATAAAATGGTATGAAATTAATGTTTTAAATTTTGAAGGCAGAAATATGTCAATATGTCAATCAATTAAATGATACGTTTAATATGAAACTAAAACAGACTAGGGATGTGCATTATGGTTATCACTATGTCAATCACTGCTACTTCGAAAGCAAATCCCGCATAAATATGCAGATGTCATTCCCGAAACTTTGCAACGTGTGTGTGGCCGAAAAATATAATTCTACATTTTAAATGGACTAGAAAACTCGCAAAGAGCGCTCTTTATAACCACTCGAAAAAGCTGTCACTCTTTGTTCATCGCGATCTCACAAAGTTCTGTTATGACCAATGAATCTCACACTGCACAACTCCATCTGCCATCAGTGGTTCAACCGTAACGTTATGAAGCGACGAGAATACTTTTTGTACACGAAGAAAACAAAAATAACGACTTTATTCAACAATTTGTCTCCTCTGTGTCTCTGCGCATCACCGTAGCGCCATTTTGGAGAATATCCGCTGAACGCAAACTGCGTATGCCAGGGATCCTCAAATCCGGCCCACGAGATCCACTTTCCTGCAGAGTTTAGCTCTAACCCTAATCAAACACACCTGAGCATACTAATCAATGTCTTTCCGGATCATTAGAAAATCACAGGTAGGTGAGTTTGATCAGGGTTGGCGCTAAACTCTGCAGCGCATTGGCCCTCCAGGGCAAGATTTGAGGAACCCTGGCGTATGCTATTCTATGTCAGCCGCGATACAAGGATACGTGATCTACGTGTATTTACACTTTGATTTGAACAGAAACAGCGCATCCATGCAGCGCGGCTGACACAGAAGAGCATACGCTGTTTGCGTTCAGCTCATATTCTCCAAAATGGCGCTACGGTGATGCGGAGAGACACAGAGGAGACGAATTGTTGAATAAAGTCGTTATTTTTGTTTTCAAAAGAGTCTTTCGTTACAGAGTCTTCTTAGGATTTGTAAGTTATATATGGTCAGGCCATATATTCCTCCTCCTCTGAGATGTTATAAGTGCCAAAGGTACGGGCATGTGGCGGCAGTTTGCAGGGGTAAACAGAGATGCGCACGATGTAGGGGTGAACATGAATATGGTCAATGTGGGCAAGAAATTAGTCCCAAATGTTGTAATTGAGGAAGAGAGCACAGTGCGGGATACGGAGGATGTAAGGTGAGGAAGCAGGCGGCGCAAGTTCAGACGGTCAGAGTCGAGGAAGGGATATCGTATTCTGAAGCGCTAAAGAAAGTTGGAAAGAAGAATAGAGACACAGAGGAGACGAATTGTTGAATAAAGTCGTTATTTTTGTTTTCAAAAGAGTCTTTCGTTACAGAGTCTTCTTAGGATTTGTAAGTTATATATGGTCAGGCCATATATTCCTCCTCCTCTGAGATGTTATAAGTGCCAAAGGTACGGGCATGTGGCGGCAGTTTGCAGGGGTAAACAGAGATGCGCACGATGTAGGGGTGAACATGAATATGGTCAATGTGGGCAAGAAATTAGTCCCAAATGTTGTAATTGAGGAAGAGAGCACAGTGCGGGATACGGAGGATGTAAGGTGAGGAAGCAGGCGGCGCAAGTTCAGATGGTCAGAGCCGAGGAAGGGATATCGTATTCTGAAGTGCTAAAGAATAAATGAAAGGCAAACAGGATGAAAAGAAAGAGATATCAAATATCACCGACAAAGTGTCATTTGTGTCGTTTATGGCAGAAGTTGTCAACTGTTCTGCTCAAACTGATAGCCGGACAGAAAGAATCAAGATAATAATCAAAGCAGCTGAAAAGTATTTGGAGATAAAGGGTATTTCTGTAGACATGATAAATGAAAATCTAAAAGTATATGTAACAAGTTCGCAATCAGGATGTGGTGGATCTTAAAGGGTTAGTTCACCCAAAAATGAAAATTAGCCCATAAATTACTCACCCTCAAGTCATCCTAGGTGTATATGACTTTCTTCTTTCAGATGAATCCAGTCAGAGTTATATTAAAAATTGTCTTTGATCTTTCAAGCTGTTTCATGGCACTCAGCGGGTGTTGCATGCATCCGTCCAAAAGCAGTTAAATAAAATGCGCCCATCCATAAAAAAAAAAGTGTCTCACACGGCTCCGAGGGGTGAACAAAGGCCTTCTGTAGCGAATCGATGCGTTTTTGTAAAAAAA